CGTTGATTTATGGCAGTGTGAACTGTGTCAATATTTTGTTTAACGTTGATTTATGGCAGTGTGAACTGTGTCAATATTTTATGTAACGTTAATTTACGGCAGTGTGAGCTGTGTTAATATTTTATGTAACGTTAATTTACGGCAGTGTGAACTGTGTTAATATTTTATGTAACGTTAATTTACGGCGATGTGAACTGTGTTAATATTTTATGTAACGTTAATTTACGGCGGTGTGAACTGTGTTAAAATATTAACACAGTTCACACTGCCATAAATCAACGTTACACAAAATATTAACACAGTTCACACTGCCATAAATCAACGTTACATAAAATATTGACACAGTTCACACTGCCATAAATCAACGTTAAACAAAATATTAACACAGTTCACACTGCCGTAAATTAACGTTACATAAAATATTTGTTGTTGTTGTTGTTTTTATTTGACGAATATGAAGTTTACTGAAAAACGAAATATCCTTAGCATAAGAAGAATAACACTTGGGTCGATGTTTACAACAAAAACTGTGAAATATTTCTCACTTCTTATTCCATTAATTTGTTGTTGTTTTTTTCAATGATTCATCCAACATAACGAATTCCCATCTATTTCGGTGAAATATTTATTTTGAAAAAGTATTGTTTTTTAAAAATCTTCATTCGTTCAGATAATAAAGTTGTGATTTTTCCTTTCTTGTCCAGAAGTTGTGTTTATGTGTGTATTCATGAAACTTTGTGCAGCACAACATTTTTTTTTTCTTTCTTGCTGCGGATTTTTTTTAAACAGTTTGTGCAAGAATATTTGAACTTTTCTTTCTAATTGCAGATTTTGTGTGTGTGTGTGTGTGAATATTTTATTCAATAGAACTCGTGGTTCATTTTTTATTTGGCGGAAAAAAACTTGTATTTTTTATTTTCTTTTTCGTTTTTTTCTAGTTTCCAAAGGACTTCTGCTTTTATTTTTGGGGAAAATTTGAGCGGGAGAATTTGTGAGATGATTTGGAGTGCTTACTTCAAGAGTTGTTTAACGTCCAGAATGATTACCATTGTCTTTTTCAGGCATGGACGATTTTTCGGTGTCATTACTCTTACGTGAAGATAAGGCTTTACAAATATTTGAAAAATTCTGTAAAATTACTTGTTAGTTATGCGCAACCTTATATATATGTGATTTTTTTAATGGAAACATAAAAGAAATAATTTCTTGGAAACGAAAGGAATGTACTTTTTTTTAGTCCTAACCCAAAATCATATTGGTATTCATAATCTCTCTGCTGCTGGTCAGTGAGGACTAAAGTTGTGAATTCAGCTGTTGAAATATCACTGTCTTTCTTAAGTGCACAAAGTGTAAACAGATCTCTAGAATCTATTACATCCATGTAATATAACGTTAAATAAAATATTAACACAGTTCACACTGGCATAAATCAACGTTACATAAAAATCGCTAAAATGTATGTTTTCAGTATAGAAAACTGCTTCACGTGCAAAAGTCAACCTCG